CAAGCCAGAATGATAATGAAAGGTGTCTCATCTCTGTTCTTTTCAATTTCCTCGATTCTGATTTCAGTTTTCCCTTTTATTTATTTCCTTCAAATAAAAAAAGACGTTTCTTACCGTGTGTGTATGAAAAATTTTCCTCGTTCCTCAATTTTCACTGTTCCTGAATGTTCGAATTCACACACACACTAAACACAGTTATGAAGAAGGTTGACTATGGGTGCCTAAAACGGCAAGTCTAGTTGAATTCATCCTGTCCGACGACGCCAATTGTAACGAGCGAACAGTTACCCTGCTCGCAACGCCACATGTTACGAGATTATTTGCCTGTAGTGCCAAATGTAACGAGTTTAACCACTCATTCTACACAACATCGACTACAGTAGAAATACTCGAAGATGCAGGTTCGCTATTGATCCTTTTATTACATGAATCAAGAAATGCTTCAAAATAACACAATGAATCAACAGGAATGCTTCACAATAATAGTCTGAATCAACTGACCCCTAACAGTCCTCACTAGGCTTCATATAACTGAATCCACATGTCTATCGTCCTTCTTAACCCAAGACGGCTAACCCGTTCTATAACCAACTGTCACACAGACTGACTGATCTAAAGCGAGCGATCGAAAGAGAGAGCGAGCTCCGCCGTCCCCTCCTATTTATCCCTTGTATTCGTACTCGTATTCGTACTTGTATTCATCCGTAATCGATATTTGTAATCGATGTCTCCGACTACTAGTTGCGCAGTTCTAACGTACAGCCCGATTAATAAAACATCTGCATCCTATCACTCAAAGTTGACAGGCCGTCTGAATCCCCTCGTACCGTTTCCCAAAATAGCACGCGTTGGCTTTGAGATTGTTATCAGTCCGATTTAATAAGCCACCTGCTATCAGTTGCATCAGACTGTAATACTGCGTCGCGGCTTATCGTTCGTTATCAGTTGCATCAGATTGTAACTAGTAGTTAGGCCTACCCTAGTTACATATATATATATATATATATATATATATATATATATATATATATATATATATATATATATATATATATATATATATATATATATATATCAGGGGCCCCCAAAAAGTTTCAGCCCGGGGCCCCGCCCAAGCTTAATCCGCCCCTGTTTATGATAGTTTCCAATAAAGAAGATTGATCTTCTTCAATCTTTGGCCTGCCAGAATTAGATATAACATTCAAAGTGGCGCGTAGCCCCGGATTCTCTTCAAACAAAGCATTCAGTTTTCTTTTCTTTTCGAGCTTTCTGAGATCTTTTTTGATCAGATATCTTGCTCTTTAGCTTTTTTTCCAAATCACTCTTTTTCTGTTTCTTTTCTTTAAGCTCCATGTTCTGTTCTTGCGTTAACATTCCGCGAGTTTGTCGCTCATACAAGCCGACTAGATCAGAATTCAGAATCTCAATATCTGATTGTAAATTTATCTGGACTGTAGCCTGCTTAGATGTTGATAGTTTGCTGGTAGAGGGTTTGAAATCACTGACTTCATGAGTATCGTTCACTTTTTCATCTGACTTTAGTGACTTATTAGTATTAGGCATTTCTTTTGCCAAATCATAGGGTGTTTTCTTATTTATAGGTGAAGATACAGGTGTTTGTTTGACCCAAAACGTCAAAAGTGAGCCTTTTTAGCGGCAGCAATAGCTTTTAGCTCCTGCAGCCACACATTCGCTTTCAAGTGCAGGTCTGAATCGCTTTTTAGTTGAGTCCACTTTTCAACGACTTCTTCTTGGCTTATCTTTTTACTCTTTTTAGGATATGCCAGCAAGTAGGCATAAAAAATACACTGGAACATTTTATTTTTATCCATTATTAACAGTCGATTTTTAAGCAGAATACATGAGATTATTAGATCTACCTTTCAATTGAAAAGCCACACAGACAAAGTTGATTCAGCGAGACACGTGTAGGCCTATTTGGGTTGATCGAATAAACACGCATCACAAGCTGACCCTACACACATCCGCTTTTTTTTTGGCCGCACCTACAAAAATCACGTGATCTCGACATTGGAACTGATCGTACAAGTTATTTTTCCTCTAGATCAGGGGTCTCCAAACTACGGCCCGCGGGCCGAATGCGGCCCGCGATGTCCTCTCATCCGGCCCGTGGAGATTTTTTTGTCCACGGAAAAATCGTTTGTTGGTGATGGCTGAGGAACTTTGCCCAGAAAAATCAAAGACATGCCTGGAAGAAACTGGCCCCCGAACTGAAATTTGATAGTTAATGCGGCCCTCGGCCTGAAAAGTTTGGAGACCCCTGCTCTAGATCGTTCAACAAGCATGAGCTAAAAAAAAATGCATGTTAATTCGTGGAATTAAGACTGTCTCTACCCCCCTTCCCCCTCGTCACAAAAGTCTGACCCCCCCCTAGGCGTGTGACGTCATTTATGGACGACCCCATATGAGCTGGGTGGACTCAGGGACGTTCCACTGCTTTGAACCCGGATTCAAACTCTACTGCTGACTTGGACACAGATTCAATTTTGAGACTTTTGGGTTAGCGGCCTAGCGCTCTACTGCTTATGCCACGCCATCCCATATATTGAAGTATTATAATATTGTAGCCATGCTATTCTATTATGCCCTTTACAATTAGATTACTTGTTTGTTACAAATAGCTAGGTGAATGGTAAATAATCTTTTTATTTTTCAAAAACACTTGAAACTTTGAAGGGGGGGGGGGGGGGGGGGGGTACGCGACAATGGTTTTCTATTGACTGGTGTCAAATCATATAATACTGAATACACTGGCTTATCGCGCGTTGTTTAAAGGATGCATCTATTCGGACCCGGGTCCCAATAGCCTCAGCCGCTATTGGGATCCGGGTCCTAATAGCCTCGGCCGCTATTGGGACCAGCCAATAGAATTGTTAAGATTTAGTTAGACAAAAATTCTTTTAAGATGCAGAGCATCTTTTTTGTAGTGATTTTTTTCCTTGTAATTGTAAATGATGTATTGCGATCTTGCTTTAAATACCCGATATCATTACTGACAAATGTTTTGATGAGCGGGTATCGTTAGGTCTATAACGTAATTATGGCCTATGGTATGAACTTCTATGGCCGAGCGAATGTTGAGCGCGCATGTAAAAATGTGTTTTATTTATTTTTTCTTCTGTTAAACGTAATTTGATTTCATAGGTCTATCTGTCCATATATATATATATATATATATATATATATATATATATATATATATATATATATATATATATATATATATATATATATATATATATATATATATATATATATATATATATATATATATATATATATATATATATATAATTCTCCTCTTCGAGCCGTTAGAAAACAAGCTGCAAACGCTCTCCCTACCTCCCCACCCCTACATGGTTTTAGTGAGCTGTGTTCACTCTAAATGTTTACAAGCAGAGCCAACGATTTTAAACGTAGAGGGGGGGGGGGGAGGGGGGGGGAAGGAAGGGGGGGGGGTTATGGTCCTTAACGAGCTACTTATAGTGTTTTAAAGAAATATTTTCAGTGTCAGCGTTGGTACTGTCGAATTCACAAATTATGAATTATTGAAAATTAGAAACAACTAAATAGCGGCGTATGTTATGCCGCGGGCCGGCTCGTGTAGTATAAGATAGCTCATAGGCTGCACTCCGCTGCAGACTACAGCACCCGGGCTCGTTTTCTTGAACACGGATATCTCGCATGCGTTGTAGTACGCTTTAATAGAAGCAATCTGTAACATTTGAACTCATAATGACCCCAAATTCTCTTTTCCCCTCTTGCTGGGCTGAGAGGGGGGGGGGGGACTACAACGACGACAAATCTCGACAAGGACCAGCTCATAGCATTGGTCTTGCTATGACGTATGCTTTACGCCTACACTGTTCCTTAACCAAAGTGAACTTACAGTATTTTTCTTGCGCTGACCAGAAAACGTGAGCGGGCGATCAATGGAGCAACGATGTTTATAATTGACGTGTTTAAAAACCTAAATCTAGAAAAAAAAATCTATTTAAAAAAAACCTAAAAAAAGACACTTACGCAAATAACACAATTGAATTTTAAAACTTAGATAAATACACTTACTTCACGCAAAATCGAGAGCTTTAATAGGTTTCGATCCCGTACCTGATCGAGATTCGGGAGGTACTGCGTTCTCCACTCGGCCATGACGTCTTACAATAACTATTATGAATTTAATGATTTTCTATATACAGCTAAATTTAGGGTATTTAGAAATAGCAACACAAGAACTAATGCTAGATAATCCGCGTAACTAATTACAATAAAAGACAACAAAATACGAGCAAATCCACAAGAAAAATCAAATAAATATAAAAGGTATAATTTTAATACAGGTTGTGCAAGTGCTTAACGAAGGGTCCCAATAGCGGCCGAGGCTATTATGACCCGGGTCCCAATAGCCACTTCCTTGTTTAAAGTAGCTTTAAATAAATATGACACCATGGCGCCTACATTCATTTTTAAAGAGCACCGTACAGAATCAATAGGGACACAGTGGGCCACTTCATTCAATGACTCACCCCTGCGATAGTGTAACTGGTGGCTCTAGAAAGCTCCACGTAATATCCCTGATACATATGGTCGCCAACACATACAGAGGCGTAGCGACCCTTCCCGGCGCCCGGGGACAAACCTTTCGATTTGCGCCCCCCTCAACCTTTCAACTTATTTTTCCAACCCATTTTGGCGCCCCCTAAGCTCAGCGCCCGGGGACATATGTCCCCCCGCTACTGAACACATTGTGTGTGTGAATCTTGTAATAATAATAATTTATGGTGATATATAATTTTCTGTTATTAGACATTACAGTTACATTTTTAAGTAGAATTTGGAAAAGTTCTAGAAAAATAAATAATTTGCACCTGAAGAATGATTCTTTGATGTACTCTTAATTTATTGAAAGAAATTTTCATTCCAAATCCACTCATATAGTATTAAATATATTTTTTGTAAGGAATGAAAAGGTCAACAAGTAACATTTTCTCTAGAGTTTAATAATCCCTTGTTTAGTAAAACTTAATAAAACCATTAAAACAGTCCTTTATTTTAACAAGCATAATATCAATAGTTTTTCAAACAGAAAAAAAAATCTACAAACAACAATTTAAAAATTACATTTATTTTTATATATAGAATTTATTCTCTTAATGCACATTATCAATTTTGCTCAGAGAATTAAACAAACTACTGTCATTTAAAAGGTTAGAATCAAAATTAGGGCCAATCAAAGTTGATGCAGAAGATACTGATTGCTGGTTATCTGTGATACCACTCTTTTTTTGTCCCCAATTGAGTCTACAGCATACAATATCAGCAATAAAACCTACAATGCCATTTATTATACCTGGAAATAAATTAAGAATGTTTTTATTTTCATGCATGTATAATAGTCAAAATAATTTGGTGCAATAATCAGTAACTTTAGTTTGAATTAAATTTTACCAGAAGCAGAGAAGATTCCTCCAATAATGCCACATAACTCGACCAGAAACAGCCAGAGTGGTCTGTGCACTTCTTTGACACGTATCAAAAGTGGAGAAAGATCATACTTAACAAAGATTCCAGGAACCCCATGACTACCCTCGTTATGGTTGATAGGTCGATTCTGAAAGAACATTTTAATGTTTCAGATTGTTGACTACTGCAGGTACTCATTTAAAATTTCAGTGGCTAATAAAACAAGAGATGCAGCTGTAACGCTGTTAGAACTTTCATACTTTAATCAGGAATTTTTAAAAGACCAATGTTGAAGTAAATTATAAAATTGTGGCTTACATTATCAGTTACTGCAAACTGATAAGTGTCCATATTAGCTTTGTATGTACGAACTTCAGTTGGAACTACTTGCATAAAGTATTGAAAAGAGTGATAATCTATAAGAAAAAGAAAAAAAAATTTAAATTAAAAAAAAAGTATTTCAATTGTGATGTAAATAATATTTAAGTACTTTTTATAAATATATTTCAATTGTGATGTAAATAATATTCAAGTACTTTTTATAAATATATTTCAATTGTGATGTAAAATATATGTACTTACTATAGGAGGTAGTTATTTCAGAACCATCTAGAGGAAATATTATGCCATTTACAGGACTCCCAAATGAAAAATGATCAATTCTGTGGCTGAAGTTGTAATCTTAAAGAGATATAATATTATCAAATTTCAATTCTACCAATACACACTAGTGCTGTAGTAGCCACAGAAGTAAGGTATAAATTACCTTGTGTGTCCATCATCATAGCGAGGTGTGCATGTCCTCTTGGAATGACAGGCACAGACCTAAAGCAACACAAAGTTATTTTGTTAATGCTAAAATCAATTATGTTCTGGAACTTTTGTAAATATTGTCAATATACTGTAATAAATTGAATTTTGCAAGTATTTCTGAGCAATTTTCTGTTAGTGCATCTTTCATAGTGCAGCATATTTTTTGTTCTCAAATTTTAAAAATTTCTGTGCACGCATATTTTTGTTGTTGTTGTAATTTTGTGCACTACTTTTATCACTTTTATTCCTGGAGATTGAGACAAAAAGCAATAACAGAAAAACAAAAGAAAAATAACTGGAGGATTTATTCATACAAATTTTAATTTGCAACTTTAACATACCATTTTTCAAATTCACAGTTAATTTTCATAATTTTCAGTAGGTAATAAAAATGAAATTGTAATACGACCAAATTAAGTAGATACTAACCAATCAAGAATAATTAAACCTGTGCACAATATTTAAAAAATGTTTAATTAAGTAATGTAAAATTATATGATTTAAAAAAATACAATGACAACCTATCGAGATGAACTTACTTGCCAGCAGTGATATGAAAATTGCCAGCAACTTTGTTGACCTCCAGTGAGCCATGAATCCGGCATGCATCATGTTGCCCTGGATGATCAGGTCCCTGTCTTAAACCACTGAAGAACATCACTCATTTGAATTGCCATGCAATCCAGAAGTATTTTAAAATAATCATTACAGCAGAAATGCATAAAATTTCCTAAACAGAGAAGCCTCTAATTTCAATTTTAGAGTAACTATAGCATAGAAGTAAACGATGACTAGTTGAGTAAGTCAGAGATCTTGTTTGTTATATCAAATAAAATAATAATTGCTGTCAAATACATTAAAAAAATACTTCATTTTTGTCCATTTCTAGTTACTACTTTGCAGACTAGGTAAATTTTATGGAAAAGCTTAGCTCTCAAAATACAGTGAAACTATCATATCTTTTACCAATCAGATTTGAATAAAAGTCATCTTCTATTTAGCTGATACTTTTTATAATTTAAAATACCTTTTTGGAATACTATTACTAAAAGTTGGGATGCCATTTCCCTTCCACAAAATCTCTTGGATAGCATGATATTCTTTGGAGAAATAATCATTAATTTCTTGAACAAAACGTTGGTAGTTTTGTTGATCCTCACTTAACTCCCAAAATACTGGCTCTTCTTGAAGATGACCAAAACCAAGAACATCTTGTCCAGTTTGGTCTAGTACATCAGCTCCAACATCTGGGTGTTTCAGGCAAAAATTAAACTTAGCTAAATTTAATACAGCTGGGCATATAACATTTAATATCAATTAATAGTACAATTAAGGTTTAATCCTATATGAACAAATAAAAAGATAAATGTAAATTGCAATCAGAGAAATAATGGACCATTATTCAGTGAAAAGAGTGTTGAAACTTACGATGACATTTCATGGCCACTGTCATATCTATATTCAGCTTTACTTTCCTGGAGTTAAAAATTAAATAAACAAACAACAAAGGAAACAGAAATTAAAAAACTTAAAACAGAAATACATATTTATAAAATATTAATGTAACAAATACACATCTGCTCTTAGAAAAAAATAAACCGGGAGTGATCTCCCCTAAACTTTCTCAAATATTCTTATATAACACTACAGGGGATGGCAACTCGGGATAAAGACTATTTCTAATCCATTTTTAATAACTTAAACTTTTTATAATAGATTAGAATCTCGTAGAAAAAAGAATTGCACACCAAGTGAATGCCAAACAAAATGTGCATAATAGTGCAGGATATTATTAGTACTTTATAAATTAACACGCGTTTTTTGAGAAATCGGAAATAGTGTAAATTACTACTTCCGGTCAACGGAAATTACTCAAAATTTGATAGAGGGCAGAGAATTATATCTTTTACTTATATGTGAAATTTCATTTATCTATCTGAAATAGTACTCAAGTTATAGGCTTTTGAAAAATTGAAAGTGGAAAAAGTTCCACTTCCGGTTATCGCTGAAAAGTTGATACAGATCTACAAATTTGATATAATACTTATATATGAAATATCATCAACCTAGCTGCAACGGTACTCAGGTTGTCATGTTTACAGACACATACATACATACACACACACAGACATACGAACAAGATTGCAAAATTATGTTGTTTCTACTCAGGGAGGTGTAAAACGTCAAAATTTCGATTTTTTTTTTTTGCACGATTACAATACTTTCTCTATACTCTCTTTATAAGAGAAAGTAAAAAAGGTAAAATTGATCTCAAATGAAGATTACCCAGAATAATTGGAATCCACAACATATTCAAACTTCATCTCTGTATCAGTATAGTAACTGACTTCTGATATAATAAGCAGGCCAATTAGAATAAACGTTACAATAGACACTGTAAATGAAGAACAACATGTTTTTACTGAAGGAAATTCTTCTTGTTCTACCTTAATTCTATTGTTCATGTTGGGAGGATTCCTTCCAACACCACAATTTCGTGTCAACTTGTTATGTGCCATATAGGCAGTTGACTCAGATTTCAGCCTGCTTTTCTTTCTGGATTTACTTTCATAGCCTTTGTCTAACCAAAGAAACTACAAGGAAGAAGATGTTTGATTTTGGAGTTGTCTCTCCTAGAAAAAGTTCTGTTCGCAGCTATCCAGCCTCATCTGCCCGAAGGTTTGAACTCAAAACTTTTCAATTTTAGGAACCATGAGATTCACCGACTCAACCATGCCAACCTCACTATTGCAATAAAAACAGATCCTATTCTCAGACTTAAATAAATGAACTGAAAACAAACAAGAAAGTAAAACTTTGTATTGTGTTATAATAGTTATATACTTTTACAATTAATAAAACACTAACTTAAAAATGAACTTCAATTGAAATTCTGGTTCTTATAAATCAGTACAAACTATCAGTCAAATTATTACAGTAAAAAAAAAAAAAAACTCACATCCTCCCCCTGTAGCAGAAGTTTCTTGATAGCCATCAGGTACTTTAGGAAAAGCATCAAGCTCCTTGACAACTTTTAAGGCTTGCTTTCTATTTATGAGTGTTGTATTTAGCATTGCATGTATTCGTCTTAGTGTTTTCTCACCTAAAACATACACAAAATTATTGTCTTTACTTGATATTTTTTATATTTACTGAGATATTTGATTCTAATGAGATACACCTAATATTTTAAACTTTTAAAGTATTGATCAATGAAAGCAAAGAAAGGTAGATTTTTCTGTGGAACTGCCTTACCCCTAAGTTACACAACTGTGATCAATCATGGCACATACAAAATACTAAGTAGACCTATAGTCATTTCAATTATATGTGTTAAGTCAAATAGCACTTAAACTTAGATTTCAGACAGAGTAAAATGTTTATTTAATTAACTGATGTACCAGTTCTGTGCATTGCTGCAGTCTTAGAAGAGGGGCTTAAGTAATTTTAAGTCATTTAAATGTAAACAATGCCGGTGCTGTTTCTTGGATCTTAGCTGTTATGGCACGGTTTTGTCCCCACTACCGCCAGACACCCAAAAGCCTAGAGTGTATGTAAAAAACCCTTCGTAATAGTGAGTTAAAAAACACCTAGGTGACCGTTTAGGCATAGCAAGCACTCTTGGAAACCATCGGTTACACTTACGTAGGGGCGCCGGGTTTAGCCCCTAGTTCAGTTCAATCATCGAATGTTGTGTGTATCCTTGTAGGCGCCGGTGGATGCACTTGATTCAATTTACTGCAATGTTATAGTAGCCCATCGTATCTAGAGTGCATTGCACTCTTTAAATTGAATTTAGGAGCCATAGTTCTCAAGGTGGAGCCCAGGGCTCCAAATCGCACCCTAATGGGGCGCCGCCCCTTCATTAATTTTTTTTGCAGAAACCTCCCAAGGAGTACCCTAAACAAATTCCCAAAGGTTGAGTTAAACATACTTGATGCATGTTGATAGATTACCCCAAATGTGGTCTGTCACACACCCTCACTACATTAAAGACGACGGCTATTACAATTTAACACGAAAACAACAATACACAATCTTTCGACTTAGAACAGGCCACAACAGACTAAATCAACACATGCACAAAAAACTGAAGGTTGGGTGTAGCGAAATGTGCCCTTGTGGCAAGGCCCCGGAAAACACGGAGCACGTACTCCAGGAATGTACTCTGTATAGCCAGGCAAGAGGCAGACACTGGCCCCAGCCCACCCCACTCAGGGAAAAATTATATGGGACACCTGACAAACTGGAAACCACAGTCCGGTTTGTCCACGAAGTTTGACTTGTTGTCTGAATCCTCCACCATATTCAAAAATTAAGAACGAAGAAGAAGAAAGATAATGTTTAATTTACAACAGAAAAGATCTGTTGCTTAAAAGTGAGCACAGAAGTGTAAATGTATGATATACATGATGTTTACATGATAACAGCATTTTGTTTTGATAACCTACAAGCATACTGCAGTTAGGAAGGTACAGCGTGGACTCTTCTCCCCACACACTGAGTTGGAACAGCCTATAACCGACTCAATTATGGATGTCATAGATAGATGACCCTTAAATTAAAACATACTATATTTTATCTTAGATAAACTAATATAAAAATAAGGCCTGCCGAACAAAGGATGCATACGTTGTATTACATAAGAGTGTTGGATAAGCTAACTCTAAAGAATATTGATGAAAGGGTCCCACTGGCAGGTGTCATATTCAATGAGAGCGCTTTGCCGGGAGACTTAGTCTCTACAGAAACTGTATTGTCAGTGCAGTGGCGTAGCTAGGATTTTTGGGCCACTAAACAAAAATTATCAGTGGGCCCCTTCGTCAGCCATTAGGCCAGTGGCGTCGCTAGGTCGGGTGTCACCCGGTGCGGCACTTCGTATTGTCACCCCCTCCCAGGAAACAAAGCATATATATATATATATATATATATATATATATATATATATATATATGCGCGTCTGTGTCTGTATCGGCCTACATAGGCCTCAAATTTATATATATGCCACATACTGGTACACGTACGTGTTTAAGCTTTAATCACTGCAGACTTAATAGTAACGATGTTTATCTACAGTCTGTTTATAATACAGTTGGATGTAGCATGTTTTCTGTATAGTTTACGTTTATGTCGTGGTGTCACCCCCCCCCCCCCCCCACTCTTGATAAAATTTTCGATTTGTACTTAGAAGACTATTTAACTTTAACTAATGGATCTGGAAAAATGGGATTTCATTCTATAAATTTTGCAAGTTTTTGCCTTTGGTGTCACCCCCCTAAATGGTGTCACCCGTTGCAATCCGCACCCCCCGCCCCGCCTTCGCTACACCTCTGCGTTAGGCTACAGAGGAGTTAAACGAAGAGATCAACTTCTACTTACGATGGATATTTTTTAATATATAAATATTCTGAAGGCAACATTTTGTATTTTATATGTCCTGATTATGTATTTATACTATATTATTATGTTTGCCTACTACTGCTAAAAAGTTTATTTATCGGCTGATTCTCTCAATGTCTTGCACAACAAAGTGATATCGCCTGTAGTGTTATTATAACGATTGGGCTCTGTTTGACCCCCCCACACACACACTGAATCCTACTGTGGAAATGGTGGGGGTGGGGTGGGCTTTTTGGAACTTTTAACCTTTTTCTTTTTAAAAATTATTTATATGTAACAAATATTAAAATTCCATTGTAAAAGTTTTAATTTTTTATGAGGGAAAAGGGCCCCTATGTGCCTTGGGCCCCTATGCCTTGCTTACGCTAGCTTTACGGTAGCTATGCCACTGTGTCAGTGGTCCTTTTGACTGGAGCCAAATTGACAGGAGCTTTTTTGTCGTGAGCCAAAATGACGCTAGCCTATTTGTCGGGAGTCGTAATGACGGGGGCCGTTTTGTGGAGAAACTAAATGGCGGGAGCCTATTTGTCGGGAGTCGTAATGACGGGGGCCGTTTTGTGGAAAAAACTAAATGACGGGAGCCTATATGTCGGGAGCCAAAATGACGGGAGCCTTATTGACTGGAGCCTTTTTGTCGGGAGCCGATATAACGAGAGCCTATTTGTCGGTAGCCTAAATGACAGGAGCCTATATGACGGGGTCCATATGTCGCTGACCCTTTTGATGGGGTTATTTTGATGGGGCCTATTTGTCGGGGCCGTTTTGACGCCGCACGATATATTATATATGTATATTAAGCCATTGACCCAAATATATCACAATCAGGCTTATATTATAATATATAGGCCTAGGCCCTACTAATAAAAAAAAGTCTAATGTACTATTCTATTAAAGTTTTGGGGCCTAAGTTTAATAATTTAAAGCTTTAACTTTTTAACAATAACTTAACAATGAGGCAACTTTTTCACACATGACATTACAACTAGCCTCGGGCCACGATATATATATTTAAATATATTAGATTACCATTAATTAATGGTAAAATCACGATATAGCGTCGGAAATTACTGGGTAATGTTCGTTGAGTTTCGGTAACATTCGTTACTGAAAACCATAGTTTATTTGACCGTTGAAAGAAAAATAAAGTCAAGTGCATTAAATTAATGTTTTAACTTAATTTAATGTTTAAATGACTAAAAATTAGCAACAATTAGTAAATCTAAATATTATTAATAAATTCGAGTGTAGTAATTGTTTTTTTTTAAGAAACAGAAAAAACCTGCAGAAGATTTGCGCAACCAGCTCTAGTTCTGTTAGTAAATAAGACTATTAGATTTAAAAATAATTTAAAAACAACTTAAAATAATTAGAAATACAAAATAATTAGCAAAACAGTATTTAAAATGCAAATAAAATCAATCCTTGCACATTTTTAAACATTATGTATTAAAAACAATATGGCGGCAAATAAATGGTTTACAGTATTTCCGGTGGTTTCCGGAACGGCTCGACAGACTACGCCATGGTTTTACTGTTTTTTACTGCTGTACAGTTCCGGAATAATAACCGACGCTATATCGTGATTTTACCTAATTAATTACTAAATAATTAATTAGGGCCTAGATCTATATATATAAATATTTAATAAATATACTTAAATTTTAAATATAGGCCTAATATAAATTATTAGCCCTAATAAAAAATAAATAGTAGGCCTATTAAATAGGCCAAAAGACTTAGTTAGGCCTAAGAAGTAAGTATTATATTAAGTAAGACTAGATCTAGAAATCTAGATCAATCATAATCTAGACTAGTCTAGAGTCTAGACTATAAAAAAAAAATAATTCCTAGCTCTACCCTCTGTCTAGTACTATTTTTAGGCAAATTTTTACTATTTAATTAAATTTAATAGGCCTATTTATTTAATTTTAATAGGCCCTACAGTGGCCTACTACAGCCCTACTGTATTTAGAAGATCTAGATCTAGAAATCTACTTTTGTTTCAGCACTTTCAGGTCTCTGTGTGCCGTGACTGTAGTTTAAGTGTAGTAGATCTAGTAATAAGTAGGCCTATTTACTATTTAGTATTTAGAAATCAGATTTAAATCTAGGTATCTAGATCTAGATCTAGGCCTATTTATTTTATTAAGAATTGTGTTAAACTTTTAACACGGAAGCAGGTCTCACTAATCACCGATTTCATCAGAAAAAAAACCACACATTTTTATAACTCAACAACTTTAGCAATGTTTTAGTAAAACTAATTTTTAATGGGGGGGGGGGGGGGGGTGGTGACGAAAGGGATGTGAGGCAGTGGGTGGAACTAGACCCCCCCCCCGTCCGCCGCAAAAAGTATTTTCGGACCCCATAGGCCTATATAATCTCTATATATATAATTAGAAAACACCAAGCTGTAAGCGCGCCTCCTAGCAGTCCTCTCTCTTCCTCTCTAGGCATATCGCTACCACCCCGACCCCCCACATGGTCTGGTGAGCTGTGGTTCACCGCTAAATGTTTACAATCGTACAACCGGGTTTAGTGACGGCTATTAGGGGCATACAGTGTTTCTTCCAGGACTTTTTTCTCCGGGGGGGGGGGGGCACTTGAAATCTTCGGGGGGGGGGGGGGGGGGCGGTAAACTTTCTTCGGGGGGGGGGGGGGGGGGGCGGACACTGTTAAAAGTATATATTTTCTATAT